GATTCTCTCCCCCATCCCACTGGGAGGGCGAGTGAGCGAGTGGCTGGGTGGTGCTTAGCTGCTGGCTGGGGTTAAACCACGACACCAAGATGAAATTGTGACAAGCTTTGACAGATAACTGGTGTAGATAAGAAGGGAAGGGAAGAACGTCCCTAAGAAAGACAGGAAGTGTAGCACACAGTGGAGTTCAAAAGCAGTCCCAACAGATCTGTAACTAACAGGTTCAGGTTCCATCTGAAAAAAATGAAGTATCTCTATTACACCCTTGAGAATCAACCACCAACCTACCTAATTATCATCCACAGACTAAAGTAGTGAGACAACCAGATAAACTTTACGTGAGCAAATGGGTAAGTTGAATCTCATGAGACACGAGTGACAAAATTACTCAACCACACCTAGGCAAAATTTGGTTCTCTTACTCTGAATAACTGTATGACAACAGACAATCATCATCTAAGTGACAGTCTTCAGAATCCATGTTTTGAGATGCAGAGAGCATAGATCACAGGAAAGCACCCACACCATGCAGAAGAGATCCAGAATGAGAAGGGAGAACATTCCTTCTGAAGAAGGTCCTAGAATCAGAATTACAGTACTTAAGCTACTTAAAGATGAACTAAAGGGAATCCTACCTCATTTTGCAAGGTACTCACCAATCTAGAGAAAATAAAAAAGCAGGAAAAGTTCCCCTCTCCAATGGAAAAAGACGCGTCAAACACTAAGCCCAGACTCATCTATGAGAGAGAAATTCTGAAAGATACTACTATCAAAACACAATGTAAAAGTTCAGTTCTCATTACTGCTTCAGCTTGTGGCAGAAGAGTAAGAAGCACACACTGACTCCCCTGTGATGTCATTAAGAGAAGCATAATTACACACAAGTCATTAACCAAGACTAAGCACAGGGCAAATCACAGGCTTGGAACAATTTGAACAGAAAGCCAAGCCAGGTCTGGGCAAGTCCAGAAGATTTCATGAACTGTCCTAGCTGAAACAGGCAGGAAGATGCCTCTATTTTTATGCTAAGAGTATTTTTTTATTTTAATTTTATTGCCTTAGTCTTTCTCCATGCTGTGACCTTACATATTCAAACAATAATGGAACAGAAGGATGCCAAATCCTTACCTGTTAGGAAGTAAGATGCAGAAACTAAAAGACAGAAGTTAAAAACTTCACAAACAAGGCTTGTTGCTGCTGCACTAACTTCCATTTTCCATCCTGGTTTGGGAAACAATACAGACACTTTTATAACAAAACTTGAAGCACTTATACTACACTAGACAAAGCACTATTTATTATGAGACAGTCAGAAGTGATTGTTTAAGTATGTTAGTAGAGCCATCAGTTATGTACAATAAATACTTCCTGCTTTTACTGTATAAGACGTATGTCAGAAAACAAAACAAATCTCCAAGGAAATTAAAGCTAATTTAAACAGTAAGACAAGTTTATAATTAATGATAGTAACAACCTGATTCATCTTCCTCGTAAGTCTTTCGTAACTCCCCAGTGGATCTCACACAAAGAATGAATGTCACAGTAAGTCTCCACAGGAGTATGCAGATGACAATACATAACTCTGTTTTCAAGAGGTAGATACAAGGCTTAACAGGAGAAAGAAGGTAGGTTTCACTCAAGAGCATGGTCACACTGGGTTGCGTTTACAATGATATAATGAGATTGTTTCAACTATACTGTTTGTCTTCTCAGTGACTACCTGTCAACTCACTGAAGAGGGGGAACGCCTGCTTAATTAATAATAATGTTAGTCAAAATGACGGCTTACACTTTTACTTCAATGGAATAATCTTACTACAAAATCTAGTACAAAGCTTATACTTAAAAATAATGGTTTAACTGGTCAAGAAGGCATGATTCATCCACTCTGCCAGGTAACAGAAACACAGGTCTGAAGAGGCAATGAGCTACTGCATATATTGCTGGTCTAGCCACTTTTGCAACACGCTCTTGCTTGAGTAAAAATACTTTACCAGAGAAGTCCTGAGGGTTAAATCCATTGCCCTTTGATATCAACCGACATCATTATTCTTCAGTTTCAAGTGAACAAGCATCTAGCCATTTCAAAGAGCATTGTGAAATGTGGCAATGCATATATTCAGTACGAGCCATTCAAAGCAAGCTTATTTCATCCTAACTGCTGCTAAATAAAATGTAGGAAGTCAAACTTGTACAAATGTATTAGACATTAGTCCATCTCACAAATGCATTAAAATATCTTTTAATAAAGATAACTCATAAATTCCATTGCATGCAAGTCAAATTTGATTAAACAGGTTGGGTAACACAGCCATTCAGAAGAACTCTCCAAACTTGAAGAACTCTTCAAACCTTCGTAAGCCTATGTGAGCAGCATAAAGTGTTGGCAAAAGATGGCAAAAGGTGTGTGTGGGTGTGTGTACACAAACCCATATACCCCCCCAAACACACACCTCCAAAGCTTTCCCTTCAAGTACAGGATTCCTTGTACAAGTAATACAGTTAGTGGGTAAAACACCCTACACCTCCTCAGAACAAGCTCACACTACATCAAATCTAGGTTAAAACCAAGGCTTAACTTACCTCCCACACAAGCTGTTAAAACTAGCAATAAATGCAATAGTAAGAAAGAACCCTCAAGACCACTGGAATCAGCATCAGGTAAACCAACCTAGTTTACCTCTATTGCACCCTTTAATTAGAAGGCAAACTACACTGAAGGGTGAATTCCACTCACCACCACTTCTCACACCTCCACTCAACTGATAGTACCTATCAGGAATGGAGGGAAGGGGGACAAAATATTTCCCCTTTTCAATTTTGAGCTCAGTATGAGCTGGATAGTGGACTGATATGACAATTCATTAACACAAGGAAGGCCAGCATACTAGAAGACTTCGCTGAACTGCAGTCAACAGGGCTGAAATACAGTTTCAACCAATTTGCTGCCAGTATCTCCTTCAGGTTTCATGGCTATGTAGCTAGTTAATTCAACTTGTTCGCAAGGGACAAATAGCTCCACTGGAAAGGACAGAAGTTTTATCCCTTATAAGCGTCAAACTTACGTAAGTTAACACACTGCTCTCCTGTATTTGGAATTTCCACTTGGATTGCAATTCATGTGTTGAAATGAGCGGTTCTGTTTCCAAAACTGCTTGTTCAATAACAGATCAGAAAGCGATAAAAGGACAGCTGCCAACCTTAAAGCTAATATACAAAACATTTTTGGTCAAGCTGATCTGGAAGTAAATCTGAACTGAAGAAGAAACAATTTAGAAACTGACTTGATTCCATCATTTATAAAGTACAAATAAAAGGGCAACCATAGTTACCAAGTCCACCTATGATGTTTTTTCCCTCCATTTTCACACAACTGATCAGTTTTTAACAATTTACAATGATGAGTGCCACTGGAATCTGCTGCAGAAAATGCAAGAGGAAGCAATAAGGGCAATGCCATTATCCATATTTGTGTTTTTTTTTTTTTTTTTTTTT